AAAGGGTTCTTCGGGTGATGATCAAGGTTGGGCTGGTATTCCGAGACATCACTAGGTCGATTATATGAAGCAAGAGCCGCGAGCAAATGAGAAACGGTATCAGTTAATTGACGTCCACGGGTCGGTGGTCTAGGATACCAGGTATGTTTTATGAACGATTACGGACATTTGAAAACCAGGTACTATTCTCCGTGTAAGGTTGCTGAGGAAAAAACGTAAGACGTAAAAACGTGAGCTGACATGTTGACTTTACCTCCCTATTTTGGGTATGTACATATCTATTTGTGTCAATCGACCGCACCATACACTGCATCCACACGTACATTACATATTTCATTGTTCATCACCATATGCATGATGATTGGAACTGGACATTTCTGGAAGCTTATGGTAATACCATCGTTCGCGGCGCATGTGTACATATCCTACCTGCATCGATTGGCGATATGCTGATCTGCTAAGGGCGACCTGGGGTCATGATGAATCTTGCATCAGTCTACTGTATTTGAAGCTGGAGCACATATGAAAGCTGGAGGGAGCACAACATAATAGCTGGCATGGTATTGAAACTAAGCATCGTCATCTTCGATCCTTTCTTATTTGGGAAGTAGTTTCTGATTAAACTACTGTGCGCTTCATCATGATCACCATGATCATCCAGAGATAATTCTCGAAACCGTTGTTTTCCTGTACGTATGTCGTGTGTTCACGATGAAAAATCTCCATTTTGGTGTACAGATACAGATACTCCGTACAGATGTGAATTATCCCAGTGGGAAGCTACTGCAAATCAAGCCCCTAACCGCTGTCAAATACGATCATCGCGCAGTGGAAGAGATGCCGGTACACGCTAATGTCAGGTACGAACCACCAACAGTGCTGGGTTGTGGTCAAGGGTATTGATGTATCTATCCACTGAATAAGGCAATTTGTCGTTTGGTCTAGCCACCGGCTTTGTTGTCTATGGAGCCGGAACGGTAGAGGAACTAGAGTCAAAAGAAGCACAGTAGAAATAGTAGCCGGCGGTCGGTTGTTGACCTTTAGGAATAAAGTTACAGCAGGGGATGGATATTTGGAAATAGAACGGAAAGACCTTTGACCATTTTCTTGGTTTGTCGGGCCACCGGGACATTTGCATAATGATGATAATAGTAATAATCACAATCATAATAATAATAACCCGTCGTTTTAGCTGTCATAATTAGAATTATTAATAATCATTTTCCAACTCTATTTCCCAAGTGCTCCGTCAGAAGTCCACCCACCAGGTCTCACTACGACGGCTTTTACCCTTCCACTTGCGGCTTTTAGGTTCTAAGAAAACTTAGGAAGGGTTTGGAATTCGATTCCGGCCCGCACCGTGTCTACTTGGAAACGTTTTCCAAGTTTCCAAAGTCAAAACTTCTCCAAAATTTATTAGGAGAGGAGTGGGTGTATGGGTGTATGGGTGTATGGGTGTATGGGTGTATGGATGTATGTAAGTATGGTGCAATGGTTGAATTGATTTAATGAATGATGAGTGATGAGTGATGGATGAGTGGTGAGTGGTGAGTGGAGTGATGGATGATGATTGATGCACGCCGAGTTAATTGGTTAGACCCCCCAATATTGATCGAGAAGTGATTTTGGAATCCGAGTGAAATGAAACACTTTTCTTTTTGTTTAGTGTTTGATTGGCTTTAATTACCCCTGGAAATAATTTGAAGTACCTCCTCCGTACCTTGTCAAGTGGTAGCCACTTTCACCACTTTGACCACTTTGACCACCAGAAAAGGTTCATAAATCCTTCTAGGCTGCTTCTTCCTCTAGGGTAGCCCACTTTCCAAAGTTCCATATGAATCTTCTCTTCAATCGAAACACGCTTCGAATTGTTCCAATGTTCCAATCTTCTACCATCAGTCCTACTGTCTACAGACTATCTTGCCTAGGAAATGGAATTATCCGTACCCACCCAGACACTCAATTAATGTAATGAATGGTACGCTCCACTGAAATTATTCAACCCGTACGTACCTAGGTACCTGTACCGTATTTGTAGATCAGCCATAGGAGATATTTGATATTTGATGAATTCGATAGCTATCAATAAAATGGATGCCTGCACAGCGCAAAAGCCAGCCGGTGTCCAGCCTTTTCATACCCAAGAGTCAAGGAGCGAGCCATCGACACTACCTACCTAGGGATGCAATGCTAGGTACCTATGGAAAATAAATAAAACACCTGCTTGATGTTACTGATTCCTTTTCGGTTATGTATGAGGAATGACTCGTTTGAATTGAACCAATAGCATCATCGGAAAATCAGGAAAAAGCAGTCAATCATTCAACTTGAGGCGTCCAATCCTTCCATCAGCCATTGGCTGATTCACAAGCGTGCGAATGCAATATGTACGAGTCTGGTGTTTTGTTTGCTGGCGAGCACAGGTACATACATACCTAGTGACAAGTACCCAGTAGTTAACGCAATGCGGCGTCAGAGCAACATGAAGGCCCAACGAACAACAAAATATCTGCTGTGTTCAATTCTGATTGAAAGACTCTCGAGAGGGGAGACCCGCGAAATCGGTCGGAATGATCCAATGGGATCATTTCATTCATGCCGAGCTTCTACCATGAGCTCACTATGCCTTTGAAGTGGCTTCACATCCTTTTCACCTCGATTCGGGCCAATCCGACCTCTTGAATCTTCGTCTTGGAATGCCATGTGATGCTATGTTACGCTATGTATACGGTCGTCAATCGTTTGCTGAAACATCTTGAGTCGGTCTTCAAAACATCCTGAACATGCCCTGGCTAGCTTTAGAATGTTCATCGATATCCACTTTGTTCGAAATTCTTTCCAAGAGAAGGTCCCAATTCCCAGCGATCGTTCTTAACCTTGCACAAACCTAGACAATATTCAGGGCAGAAACGAGGGTCCATGTCAGCCTGCCATCGAACATTCCAATCTCTCATGGGTGCCGGGGAAATACAGTCAAGAAATTCCTTGAGTGATTTCGACGACCAGCAGCCTCAAAACTTTGGCTCAAGAGATTGTGGGAGGTAATACAGTGGCATAAGGGGGGGCAGCGGATGTGTAGCGTGAAATGAGAGCTGGGGGATTGACTTTGGGTTCGGAATCACAACTAGAACAATATGTAATTCCATGGCTTTTTCTTGACAATATTACTCCACGACGTAGAATGCTACCATCGAACGACTCGTGGAGATAGGTTCAGCTCCGATTCGGGGATTTAATTGCAAGACTGCAACTAAAATATTCCAGAGAGCTCGCTCGGAATAACTAAGTTTGGCCTGTCTAATACTCACGCACAAGCACACGCATACACATTTCACATATCAGAATCCTTCTGCTGCATCACAACTATGCTTCCCCCGCTGCAGTACAACAAGTACGTATATGTATGATACCAATGAACATTGGGATAGCACATAAAAATGTTGTAACTTTTGTGCTGTGGTCGGTAAAAAGCAGGGGCATTCAAAGGGTATTCAAGGATATGGACATGCTTTTTTCCGGGTTATGAAGGGGGTCATAGAACACGAAGTTATTTTAACTTATCTACGTATTCTTCCAGAAACATGCATGGAATTCCCATAACAATTGACAAATGGATGATCCTGAATGCCCGTCCAAACTTATTTTCTTTTTTTCTGATAATCCTTCCATGTTCATACTTTTGTTTTTTCTCCGTACCACGCCAATGCCTGAAGAGGTAATGCTACTTTCCAAATTGACATCTTTTTTTGGTTCACCCAACTCTCATCTAACCTGTTACTCAACTGACTTTACTTGCTTTGATCTTAAACTAGACATATACGGCATACCAAGGTTGAGGGCTCCCCCCAACCCCAGCTGGTGTAGGTTCAGAAAGTATGTATCATAAGCGAACAGGAAGTACATACTATCCTGTAAGTAATAATAATAATCGGAAACATAGTAATCATAATTTCATAAATTTGAGTTTCCATTTTCCAAAGGAAGGGATGCGTCTTGCTCATTTCGATTTGTCTTTTTTCTTCCGCCTTCCCCTGGTCCATAGTCCCGCAGCCCGTCAAGCATCTTTTTGAGCCAGGGCGGAGCCCGAAGAAGATCTACTCCCTGTCTCTCTGGCATGCAATCACTTTGATCATATAAGACAAATTGAAGCCCCCTTCGCACAAAAAAATAAATATTAATATTGAAATATCCTGTGAATTCCTCCATCATCATCATCATCCTCCTCAAGTATCTCGTCCTTTCATCTTGCGTCTTGATCATTCATCGTCCTTTCCACTTTTGGCAGTGTACACTCTACCGACTATACAAACAAACTACCTCCTCCTACTCTCAAACCATCTTCTCACAACCATTGGCATTACTTCCATCGGCGTCAAGAGGTTGATATCCGGCGGCAGCAGTTCACGCAGCATCCCTATCGGCTAGGTACTTTCACACGAACCCTGTGCATTAAAGTCACAGCTATCCGGTTCAACGCTCCAGCGTCTGACCTGCTCGCACCGTCGCAGACTTTGTCGCAAAGTTCTCAGATAGTCAAAGCAACACGAAATCTTAAATAGAAACATCACCAGAACAGTTTTCAAATAATACCAGGCGATTCGCCCATCTTCACTTCAGTCAATCATTCAATCAATCATTCAATTCAATTCACTTCAGTTCAATTCAGTTCTTCAAACTTTCATTCAATCAGATCATTTCAGGTCATCTGTGGAAACCGAAAAGTCTATTTACGATACGACAATTAGCCATTAGGCCTGCCATCCACATCCACACCCATATCCATATCCACATCGATTCATCCTCGGCGATTTACCCCTGGAAATAGCTTGTAGCTAATAGCTTACCAAAGAAGCTCTTCCACACCAGTTACCCTCCCTTTCCCGTTAAAGGAGGAAACCTTGTGAACGCAAGCCAAAAAAGCAACGTGAGTCAGATAATATCTATGTTCATTCTCATACCCTACAAACCTATATTTACCAAAATATAATTTATTTCTGACTGGCCAATGGTGGCCATGTCATGATGCTTTGGGATTTGCAATCTTATTTTTCTTTTCATCTTTTGTATATCAAGAGAGCCATTGTACTGATTCAAAATGTTTCCTTTAGTCTTCAAATACACACAGTCATCATGATTTTCAAGGAGAACGCATCTTCCAACATGGGCCGTGGCGCATATGACACTACTGGATTACCTCCACCAAACCACCCAGCACCAAACCACCCTGCCCCAAAGTCCAGATAATGGCCTTCACGAACATCACCTCACTCACGATCGTCCACGAAATGGCCTACGACCATCAGAGGACCTCATGGAGACGCAAAGTCTAGGCCCGGCAGAGGATACATCACATCAATTTCTATTCCTTGCACCTCCTAGACTTAAGCATCGTCTATCTCGAACCTCACGATTTCCGAAACAACTTCTACACATCCTCTATTACTCTGGTTATCATTCTCAAAGACACTTTTTTTGAAAAATCTCGCTTTAATACCCATCAGCAGTATCCTTCTGTACCATAATCTTTCCTACGATTCGCGACGAATTTCCTTTTATCGCGCTGCGTGCGACTTTTACCCAATTCTCCATACGATTTAATCTACATTCCAGACAATTTCGATAATCTTATCCGACTCCGAGACATCTTAATCGCACTCCTTGCATTAAAAAGTTCTTTCAAAAGCATGGCGGTCTCGATCCACAGTACACACTGCCTATCAAAAGTCTATGTTCGATTCTGATTTCTTCGTCGCGGATTTTCTGGAATTACATGCAAACACACAAAATTGGGGAGAACGGGGAAGGCGTTACATCTAGACTTGGGCCCGTTGTTCATTCAACACATTTACATTTCACATTTTCTCGTTTGGTTTTCGGTGTTTTTAGACTTGCGCTGTATTTTTATTCTTTCAACTGGTTCGGACATAAAATTGGGATTTGCTGGGGATATCAAAAACGTTTGGTTGGCTAGGAAAACCCCTGTGTTTTATCTTTGGTTTTTTGCGAGGGGTGCATATAGACTTGGTTGTACTATTTTTGTTTCTTTGGGATGTTATGGTGCGTCACTTGTTTTTGGAAAGAAAGAAATGGATGTTGCTATCTTCCTCGCGGAATGGGCACGCCTCGGGGTTTTTTGTACACGATGGGATTTTGGATTCTGATGAACCGGTGGGACTTGTATGCTTGTATCTTGGAAGAAAGACTTACTATTACCTTGTATTCTATACTATTCTTTCAAAGTTTTTGCACATCTATTGCTTGTACTGCGCTGCGACTTGCTTTATTTGCAAAAGACACATTGGGCTCGCTCTGTCTACTTTCATGGACTGGATCCTGATTCAACGAGCAAGTGACGTGAAGGTGGAAGCTATACATCCAATCTAGACAGAAATCCCTCCGCAAGGAGTTCAGAAGAGGCGTAGAGCGAACTTTGACTTTAGAGTCCTTGATAATTACACAATACGAATATCACTTTAATACCTTGAACTCACCATAGTCTCAATTGACATGATGGTGACATGGGCATCTTCATTAAAAGGTGTACTTGCATGAACGAGAAGAAGCATTAACTAAAACAAGTGGATTCGATCTAGAGTCTAGAGCGCTACTCTTGACCAAATTTACAATATATCACATTTTGATCGGGTAAGGTTCCTGAAACTCAGACAAACAAACTTCCCGTATCCGAGTCAGCTCTTCCGAATCATGTTTGTCCTCGAAAAAGCAACTGGGTACAAAGTTAAATTCCAAAAGCAATCATCCTCATGCAAACATGTCCAAATTAGATGTTGATGAGTTCCAAAAATATACGTAGCTTTTTTTTCAGGAAGTGCACGGAAATGAGCTGATAGGATCTTCATAACATGACGATTTTAATGTGATTAGTTCTGCAGCGGGTAAATGGACAATACAGACGAACACGATTCTAGAACATGCAGAGAAGGATGAAGGGGGTAAGAGTGCGTTCGAGGTTGGAAAGGTTAAACGTAGAGTGTGGGCGATGGGTTGGAGGTTACCGTAGAACAGGTAGCTGCTGTGTTACAGCGAAGGCTTGAGGAAGCTTACCGCGTATCAGTGATAACATATTGAACTATCTACCTAGACAAGCACAACATTAAATCACTGACAACAATCAAGACTCAAGATCCTGAGAGAGGAAAAGTAGTTAAAGTCATCTGAAAATTATCTTGAAACTTACAATATCATTCCTAGCGAAATTGCCGCTCCTCAAACGCCAATAGGTATCGATATAACACACCTTTCACATCCTCTCTACGAACAAACCATCTAAGATGTCTATTATCCAACAAGTTTCCAACGCTACCCTAAATGACAATTGGCGTACAATCAATATTGACGCCCTCGATCCCGATTCCTCTACAAACTTCGATGTCTCCACTCTCGTCGCACAATTCCCTCCTGTCTCCGACGCCGACATTCGAACTCTAGCTCAACAGGTACGACAATTACTTCGTGGAGGTGATCCCGAGGGTGCTCTAAGGGGTGCTTTGGAAAATGCTCCTTATGGAAGTACTGAACAGGTTAAGGAATTGCATTTAGCTACTGTTATGGAGGTATTGCAAAGTATTAAGGCGAGCGAGATGACACCGTTGTTGAAGAAGGTTATGGAGAGTGAAGGTGGTGTTGATATTGTGGATTGCTTGATGAAATATTTGTGGGTGCTTCTTTCTCTTGATTTTTGTAGTTTTTTACTTGATATTGGGAGTTGTTACTAATGATGGATGTATGGATGGTAGATATAAGGGCATGGAATCCAAAACTACAAATGCAAATACGAGCAAGCTTACGCCGCAAAGTACCGGTGGGTTCTCGCAAATTGGGGGTGGGAGACCCGGAGCCCAGAATGAGAGTAGTGGTTCGTCTATGAGTGTGCTACTTAGTTGGCATGAGAAGGTCGTCGAGGTGGCGGGGCTGGGATGTGTAGGAAGATGTATGACTGATTGGAGAAAAGTATAAATGGGGAGATGATATTGGTACATTATGGTGATGAGGGGTGGAGGGAGAAAGCAGCATAGAGATGTCTAAGTCGTGGGATTGGAATTGTGGGATACTACATGGCTGAGATGACAGATTCGAGTACTGAATTGGAGAAAGGCAAAGATGATAGAAGATGATATCTTTAGGTATCGAAGAATGGATGATATCAAAATTCATAGGTCTAGGATATTTCCTGACTGGCAATGCACAAATGGCCTTGAGTCCAATGGACTACTGTTTAGTAGTAGTGTCCTTATTTGGTAGGAGCCACCTCAGAAGGTATTATATGTTCTGACCAGAACAAATACCCTATCACAATTGGTGCCATTTGCACGATGGCTGATTTCAAAGATGTTTCTTTCCAACACACAAGGCAGATGGTTTCTCATGCATACTTTAACGCCAATTCGTATTTCTTCGTCACTTTCCTCTCGTCCCTTGTGTTTTATGGTTTTCAGTTGCATATTTTCAATATTCCCAAATTTTGGGGGATGTAAGATCTTATATCAATCATTGAGCACATCAAACTCTGAGATTTCGAAAAAGTTTTCGATTTTCTTGATTGATGACACTAGATACCGAAGAGTGAAGTAGAATAATAGATTTCATCTTTCTGTAGGCTATGATTAAGCTTCTTCAAAGCATCAGGTTTTAAAGATCGTTGGTCAGGTCACAGCTACACGGATAGTGATGTAATTCTTAATTCTTGTACCTTGTAACTTGTTATCATCCACACAAGCTGGTGGCTCCCTCTATCTGAGTCTAATATCTGGGTCATGTTCTGGGATACTGTATATAATCTTTCAATTTTCCTGTTAAGGGCTAGGAAAGAAATGTTATGGATATGATGGATTATTTGATTATATCTAAGTATGATGCGTTGATCAATATATTCTTACTGTGATAATCGTCAATAAGGATAATTAACCCCCTATTTTTATTTTCGAGGTCATAAAGTCAGGGATGTGAAAGAATGGGGGGATTGATAAATTTGATAGATTGGTATGGAATATAGGTAGGTTACTTGG